AAAAAAAAAAAAAAAAAAAAAAAATAAAAAATAAAATTTGAATTTGCACTATACTCTTCTTCACACCACAGAACAATTAACCAAAAATATACTGCAAAAAAACGATTGAGGACGTGAAGTTTTTCAGCAAAATTTTGAATATGCTGAGGACGTTAAATTTTACCGGAAATATACTGGAAATATACCGGAAAAAAGATATCTTTCACGTTTTATTAACAGATAAACTGAGGACGTTAAATTTTACTGGAAATATACCGGAAGATATGCTGAGGACGTTATATACTGGAAATTTTACCGGAAGATAAAACTGAGGACGTTAAATTTTACTGAAAATTTTACCGGAAATATACTGCAAATATACCGGAAAAAAAGATATCTTTCACGTTTTATTAACAGATAAAACTGAGGAGGTTAAATTTTACTGGAAATATACCGGAAAAAATATACTGCAAAAAAGATATGCTGAGGACCGTAAGATCTAGTATAAGTAAGTGAAATAGATAAAATAAAAGAGAATCTTGATCTATTAACAGTATATTTCTAGTTTAAAAAGATATCTTTCACGTTTTATTAACAGTATATCTTTTACATTTTTATTAACAGTATATTTCTACTTTATTAACAGTATAGTTGAGAAAATGGAAAGAAAAATCAACGGCGACAACGAAATTTGAGAACAGCTCATCAGATTCTATAATCATTAAAATCGGAAAAAACCATTCCCAGCTATACGCACGTAATCAATCGGAAATGGAAATGTTAGCCACCATCTTCGACGCCATCTCTCTGCTGGCTTTCTCACCGCACAAGGCCAAGGTCGCTACTTCCTTGCGGATCGTCCGATTCTCCACTTCCCCCAAAAAGTCTGCTTTCTCGACCTATTTTTTCACTTGCCCGTTAATCTCCTTTATCGTTCGATTCTCCTTGATGTTCGAGGGTTGGGTGCTTCGCGGGCGTGTCTTCATGTGATACTGCGTGGACTTCTTCTGTGGCCTGAACAAGCACTCTATCGGCAGCCAATAACCGCCGCCGCCCACCGTTTGTTTTTTTTTTTTCTAGTAGAGATGACGAGTTTTGCAGTTGCCCTTGAGAAAATTGGGAAAAGGGATGAAAGCTTTTTGCATAGAGATGGAGATCGTGCGCGGTTTTGCAGGAGAGATAATATCTTTGATATTTGGTAATAATATATCTTACTAATTAATGACCCAATCACATTTAATATCTCAAAAACCGTTGAATTGGATATTAGGTTTATTTGTAATATTTTGTGGTTAATTTAGTTATTTTATAAATAAAGTTAAATTTGGTGTATAAGTGTAATATAAATAATTTATGATGGTAAGGGATGGAAATTCCTCTATTTTATATCCAATCAGGCCCTAAAGTTTAGAAACACTTGATCAATATATATTATAAATAAATTTAAATTCTAATCACTTTTTTATTTGTTATTGTTTTTTCATATATAATATACCAAATTAATTGTCTTTTACGATCACCACCATGTGTGTTGCATATGTAAAAAATATAATGCTAATTATAACTGTATTGCTTAACTAACAATAATTTGGAAAGTATTTATATCAGTGTTTTTTGACCCGGACCGGCCCGGTGGGTCGACCCGGAGCCAGAACCGGTCCGGGTGGACTATTTGGACCGGGCAACAAAGGACCCGGTCAAACCCGGTCAAAACCCGGCTGACCTGGGGCATTGACCTGGCCGGGTCAACCCGATTGACCCGGTCCATTTTTTTTTTTATTTTTTTTTATTTTTTTAAAAATAAAACTATATATATATGTTTACATGGTAAATATTTATCATGAAATACATATTATTAATATTTTAATGTACAAATTTTATACACAAAACATTTAATTTTGTTACTTTTATGTATATTTATATGCTAAAAATACTCTATATATAATTATAAAAATTATAAAATTAATTATCCGGTTCAGCAATTGACCCAGTGACTCGATGGTTGAACCGGTGACCCGAGAACCTGCCCGGGTCGATTATCAGGCCGGGTTATGATTTATATAGACATTGGTAAAAGGTTTTCACAGTCTTATGCTACATGATGGATGAGGATGACATTTTGAAAATATAATATTTTGTCCACACAGTGCAAGATGGCATATTAATAAGGCCACTCAAACAAATAGCACTACACTTACAAAAATTCTCAATACAGTCACGGGCTAACCCAAGCATCCCACAGAAAGAAACTTTGAGAGCGACATTCTTTTCTGTGCTATTACAAAGTTACTCAATTGGACACGAAACTCGTAATGTTCTATAAAATCGTAAAGAAAAACCAAAAAATCTCTTAAACCGTTCCAGTTTTATTTCCATAAGTATCGAACCACCCTTTTCAAGTATTTGGCACATTTTTTAACATTCACAAAGAGTAGCACATGCATGAAAACTGTATACTTGTCTTATCACAAATTTGAGTGCCCAATCCGAACGTGAACACGATGCCATGAGGTGTTTAGTATGCCCCTCAAGTTCCAAATCTCCTGCACAGTTTCAGGCTGGACATTTCCTGCTATATCCACCTGCCGAAAATCGAACACAAAGTTAACCCAACAAAAGCATAATAAAATGTTTCAGCAAAGTGGCTTCTAATTCAAAGTGCCTTTAGAAAATAGATAACTTTAAACTATAAATACTCTTATATGTATTACCAAAAATCACATTGAGGTTTGTATTTTCTAAACAAACACACCCTCTACTCAATGTGCGATTGATGAAACAGAAACAAGTATCATACGAATATTTGTAATTGTCAATGATTGTGAGAGCCTGAGCGACTGCACATTTTTTTTCCTTTTCCTTTTCTTTTAGCACGGCAAAACATCAATGATATTGTTTTGAAATTCACTCTATCAATTACTCCTATTTCATCTCCTGGATCATCATGGAACTATCAGTATGGTGTTTATGTATTAGTTAAAAATGTAACTTACTGCTTTGGCAACTATCTCAGTGCTGTTAAGAATTTCAGCTTGGGCCTCGAAAAGGACCCAAGCCCATTTATCACTACTTTCACCATCAGAAATATATGGGACGCCGGGTTTTTGTGATTTGGAGGCTTCCACCCATGTTTTGCCACCATCAATAGATATATCCACTCTTTCTATGCCTCGGCCACCTCCTGATGCGGCATAACCTTTGATGTTTATCTGATCACTCACAAGAAGTTAATTTTACAGGGATTTAATGTATCGGGCATAGAACTTAAATCAGGTGATCCTAGGATGGACGGCATATATAAAATGATCTGAATAACTCAAGAAATTAGGACGATATTAGAATTTCAAGCAATACAGGCAACTGTAACTACTTAGATCGGTGTGCCACTTCATGCTTGTGGTATTTAAGTCTCTAAGTACACCATTCAACAAACTGCTCTGGATTACACCGAGTACAATGAAGGTAATCAATGGCTGGCAGAATTGTTTATATATATATGATTGAAGTACACCGAGTACATGATACAGATACAGAGAGGCTTTACTGACCTTTCCAGGTTTCACCATATTCACATCACTCAGAGAACAAATTGCAGACTGCAAGCAGCAAAAATTCAAGAGTCACTCCTCATTGTATCAAGAAACTTTTCGGAAAAAACACACTTTTTGAGTAGGTGGTTTATCTAAGGTTCAGATTATTGCATTGCATAGTCATTTGCATAAGATATTTTTCTTTTTCTTTTGTCCATTTTTCTTTCATTTTATCTTTCTTTATTGCTTAGGTTGTAGTAGAGACACACTTGAGATATGGAAAATCAGATATCAACCATGAAAATGAAGTCAAATAAGCGAGGGCATATTTAAACAGATTTAATCTAAATATCATTACTAAATAGCAAATGATTACAGCTGACAGAGTCCATCTTCTCCTGATGAGGGATGTATACAAAATATTAATCCTGTAATCATTATTAAAACAAAATGGCACAAGATTGCACTTACTAGACTGCAGCTTCTCTTAATAATTCCTCACTTCATTAAGTACATTTTGACCAAGAGAAAGTCAGGTTTTAGTACCTGAACAGGAAAATCCATTTGAGGCCGCCTTGTAGACCAATCGATATTATCCCAATCCACAGAAGGTGGAAATATTTTGTAATCCTTTTGCATGAAGAATCCCTGCAGATCATCAACATGAACTCACAAAGCTATCATATCAAGGAACTAGGTGGGTAACCTAAGCAGCAGATCACAGTTTTGTTTTTTTACCTGGCACTCTTCTGCAATTATGTTGATCGAGTCAAGCCACTTCACAGATCGAGCACCAATAACACCAGGGACAATCACACGCAGTGGATATCCATGATCCCTGTTTAGAGTCTGTGCACAGGAAAAAAAAAAAAAAAATTATAATTATAATGAAAAGTAGCATGGTTTTTGGTTATCAGTGGGGCAATAAAAACTAACTTAAAGCAAGTGGAGTTGTGGAGTACCTCTCCATTCATTTCATAAGCTAGCAAAACATCAGCCTCAGGGTTTGTGGCCTGAATTAATGGAATAGATGCTTTATAGGGGCCTCCATTCTCTTCCTGAAATAATAATGCCTCATGTCAAGCTGAATTTTCAATTTCAACAATTAAGAAATATATATGTTATAGCACGAGGCACAGTTAGTTACCTTACACTTGTCGATGCTTACAAATTCCACATGCTTTCCTCCAGATGGCGTTACATGAGAGCATTTGGGGATTCCTAGGAGTTCAAGAACATCTGCTAGTCTAGCCCCGCCCCAAACAGCTGTAGTGACATGCAAGAGGAAACGTTATAGAACTATTAACCTAGATCATTGAAGTGTAACGGAACAAGTTACTCGCACGTTACACAATTAAATCCTAAACAAAACATTGGCATGGGAACAAAGTAATTAGTGTGGTAACCTATAACACAATTTGGCTTCCAGTTCTATTATTGAGTCATATTAACAGTGGCATTGTATGCCACAGTTGTAGGAACGAGAACAATATTGATTGGTCATATCCAAACTTAAGAAAGCAAAGATTAAGATTCAGAGCTGTTCTGCAAAATGTCGATACATATTCTCATCTAGTAACCAATAATTAACATGTAACGATGCTGTGGCATCCAAAGAACAGCATATATGAGAGGTTGGCCACATAATAATGTGTGTACTTTAACCAAATTAAAAAGAAAAAGAAAGAAAAATCCGAAAACATACATGTTAGAAATATCTTTGCTTACCATTTCCTATGGCTGCAACATCCCACCCAACTCCTTTCACTTTTCGGGTCTTGCTCATTGCTGTTCTTCTATTGCCAGCACACTGAGAATCAAACAAAACCAATAATAAAGGACTCAGATAAACTAAATGGATTAAATAAACAAAATAATAATAATTTAAAAATTAAAAGAAAAAAGTACAAATTACCTGCAGAGTAGCTGTTACAGTGTACTTCGGGAGCTTCCTGTTTCTCATAAGACAAAATCGTTCTTATTGCAGCAAATTTTAATCTTTACATGATTATGCAAACTGATTATTCACTCACCAGAAATCTTTCATAAACAGCTCTTTGGTGTTTCCAATTAGTCCAGCAATCGAAACACTGTATCTGGTCAGCCAAAATACATTCCATGAGAAATAAATCAAACACTCCATACCAAGAATTAGAGAAAACTGAAGATCAAGGACAAACAAACTTGTCTAGATCATCCACTACTGGAATCGGTCCATGATTCCTCTTGTAGAAGAAATCTACTGGTGTAACATAAGACGAAACCAAATCTGCACGGCGTGGCTCGGCATTGAATGGTTCCTGAATCAAAACATGTGTTTTCATTCTTTTGTCCTTTGACAATCAATAAAATGTACAACTTCTCGTTTATCTTTCTTTCGCCATCTTTCACAGAGTACTGTCTTCTCAATAAATAAAAAATGAAACAACTAAACTAAAAATTATCCAGCAATTTTGCACGTGTAATCATAGCTCAAAAATCAAAATATAGCAAAGGTGGATCTATACAAGTATCCATTTCCCATAAAATCCAGTACCCATAACCTCTGCACAATTCACAGTAGAACAAAAGTACTGCATAATAATGCCATAATGATAAAGAAAAAACTAATAAAAAAATCGGAGAACTGAAATCGCGCATACAGAACATGTAAACATATGACCACATGAACACTACACTTTTATGCAGACGAAAAGCAGATAAACATGAGAGAGAGAGATCGCAGAAAATTGGGCAAAATTCATGAATAAAGCAATAAATAAATAAATTAAGAGTGAGCTGCTAACCTTGGAATTGACAACGAGAGCGGAATTTCGCGGCGGCTCAAGCTTGTAATCGGAAGGTCCCCTGAGTCCGGGCATTTTTCCACTTTATCCAAGTGCAGTTGAGAAGGTACGAAACAACGGCGTCGTTACAAGCAAAGGCTAAAGCCTAAAACCAGCTTATATTATTGAAGTTGTCCCGGTAGAGTGGTGTGATTGAAATGGACGGTGATAAAGGCAGTTGTGAGATTAGCCTTCCTCACCTTCGTGTGACACCAACCAATAATAAGTTGCAAATTGGTTTTTAACACCTTTTTGGCCTTTGTATTGTGTGCCAACTTTGCTTTTTGTAATTGATTTGTGTGAATGAGCAAAACTTTGGTTAATTATAATATAATAACATACGTACTTCTATTTAAAATGTTATATAATATGTGCTTGTTCATAGCGAAGTTGAGCTAAATCTTAAAATAAAATGTAATTTTGTATAACCGCGGTTAAGCATGGAATTTGAGTTTACACTTTTACTTTTGCCCTTTTACTTTTAATATATATTTTCATTTGACAAAATAAAACTCAACGGGAAGAAAATAATTATTTAACAAACCTTAAAAATTATTCAAGATCAATTTCTTTGCATGACGTTGTAATTTGAGAGTTGAGATGGCGAGAAACAAGAAAGTGTAGATTATCAACATGATCTTGACTTTCATTCAAGCCTACATTCGTCAAAATCGAGTCAACGTCAAATCCGCAACCTTAAAAAGATGACCAAATAAATATAAAAATCGCGTGATGCTTGCCAAAGCATGTTTATTTTTCTTAATCCAGTAAAATCTAGCTCGGCCTGCTGGGCCAAATACATATTACTTGGAGCCTTTACAGTCAACAGGCAATGCAAAGGCCTATAGTCCATATGTTAGGGGGTAATTGGCTATAAACTCTACAGTAAAAAAATCAATCAAAATTAAAATTTAACTCAGATTGTACTATCTTTCATATTAACAATACATTCTTACACATCACATCAACTTTAATTCACTATTCATCCATTTACATACCACTAACAATTAACCATTCCACCTTTTTCAAAATTAATTATGGTTAAAAAAATCAATCAAAAACCAATCAAATTCATATCCAATCAAACCTTTAATGTCGTAACACATCCTCAGACCCACAACCGTAACATAACTGCAGTGTCTCACCGGCAAACACGGCAGGCCGCCCGCCTTCATTGTCGCCGGCGGAGCAAGTGTCACTCTCTCTGTCGATGCAATTGGCAAATTCAATCTTGTCACCGTATTTTTTACTGTCGGATCAATGCCTGTGTTGGTCAAACGGTAAAATATCCGATGAGGGCACTCGAATTTTTCATGCAATCAAAAAAAAAAAATTGATTGAGTTATTATTATTATTATTATTATTATTATTATTATTATTATTATTATTATTATTATTATTATTATTATTTTGTGGTGGTGGTTGTTTGGAATCCATGCCATCTAAGGAAATTTGTTGGTCAAGACTCAAAGTTACTGACAAAGTAATGGGAATAAGTAGGGGTGTTCACGGTCCGATTTTAACCGAAAAAAAAACCGTCAATCCGGACCGCAGATCGGTTAAATAATCAGTTAAAAAGCCTTAAAAAATCCGGTGGTTAATTTTTTTTAAAATCCGGAATAACCGGTCCGGTTAACGGATTACCTACGGCAAACCGCTGGTTTAATCGGACCGAACCGGTAAATATTAAAAAACTATAACAAATATATATATACATTCAGTTATTCACTATGGCCAACAAATACAATACATTCACTTTCACTTTTTGGCCTTTTATTGGCCTTTTGCATAATTTAATCTTCATCATTTTTGTACTTTTATGTTTATGGGACGAAATGTGTATTTTTATGCTTATGAGACAAATTGTGTATTTTTTTATTTTATTATTGTTGTTTTTCATAATTTTTAGGCCCAAATAATATCTTTTGGTCCCAAAATTGAAAAATAAAAATTAAGCCCAAAATGAAAAAAATAAAAATTGAAGACCCAAAACAAGGATTTTGGATTTAACCGGTTAACTGCCAAACCGGACCATCCAATGTGGTCCGGATTGTGGTCGGTTAAAAAATAAAACCGGTCCGGTTATGGACAAGAAAAAAAACTAACCATTAGGTCCGGTTTGGTTATGGTTTGGGCTAAAACCGGACCAATCCGGACCGTGAACACCCCTAGGAATAAGTATAGCAAGCAACCACGTGAAAGTCTAACTCCCCTGTCTTCTTACATCACATATGATTCCCATTGTTGACTCAAATTTTTTGCAGCACTCTGAAAGTCCCATAAAACTTCTCCTCTTTGCCTGAAAACTCCATCTTCACACATAACATGAAGCCACATGCAATTTTCATCTCATGCATCTTGCTGGCTACTGTCTCTGCAGGTAAACCAGCAAAACTAATTCTATTAAATTCTTCCAATTTCACACCTTTTTTTTTTCCATGTCTTGCAGATATTTTACAGAACCCAGATTTCGAGTTCCCGCCATCCACCTGGAACACGTCATCGGCATTCTTCACCTTGACTCAAGCAGCACCACCATGCCAGGATGGACATTTGAAGGCACTGTACAGTACGCAAATGCAGGGGATGATCTGTCTCTACCCGAAAACGGGCATGCTATGTTGTTAGGACAAGACGGTAAAATCAACCAGACTTTCACTGCAAACAATGAAGGGCAAATGCGGCATCTTTTGACTTTCACGTTGTCCAGGGGGGTTCTAAACTGCAGTGCTTTCGCGAGCCTTGTAATTTCGGCACCTGATAATTCTGCAGAATTTGCCTTAAGCGGTAAATATGGTAGGGAGTTGTGGGAAGTTTACGGTCACCAGATAGGAAGCTGGGGAGATGGCGAAGCCGTAAATTTGGTGATCGAAAGTCGAACAAACAATGAGGATGAAAACTCGACGTATTGGCCGGTGGTCGATGATCTCAACTTGGTCACCGTTGGATTAGTGAATCAAGAGAATGGTAAGAAGAGAACAGTTTGTTCTTGATTTTCTTTGCTGATTCCAGTTCTACCAACCTGTTTATTTCTTTCTTTCTTCTCTCTCTCTCTTTTATTGAATTCAGAACCGAGCCTCACCGAGTCCGCACTTCAGCAATGGACAGTAACGGGAACAGTAAAATACATAGAAAAGAAAAATTACTATGTCCCACTAGGCAATGCCGCTGTTGAATTCGTGTCGCGAACCTCTTCAGGCATCCAGACAGCACGAGAACTCAGTCGAGAAACCAACTACAAGCTGGAATTTTCACTGGGTGAAGCAAACAAGTCCTGCTCAGGTGATTTTACAGTTGGGGTCGTGACTGGATCATCTTCTCGGAATTTTACTATCCACAGCAATGGAAATGGGCTGGCCCAAAAATACTCGCTGGATTTTCAAGGGGCTGGAGCAGGTCCAACCCAGATAGGCTTCGAGAGCTACAGCACGGGACAGAGGGAAGATGGAGTGATTTGCGGTCCGGTTATCGATGGTGTTGTTTTGTGCGTTTCTGGTGGGTGCGAATTGAATGGTTGTTTGTTCATAATCTTTCTTTTTCTGGCCCTTGAGGCGATTGTAGCCGAGCACTGGTAGCTAAAGGGATTGAGTAACCATTGTTTGCCAAGATTTGATGAAATATTATTTCATTGCTGGAGAAAATGCAAAAAATGATTGGCTTCCTCCTCTAACTATCTTCATAATAATAAACATAATTGATCATTTTCAATCATTTTACAGATATGATATCCCCAGCATAAGAATCACAAGTTCTACATACAAATTACATTGTTGGATGACTTGAATAACCTTCACCTCAGCTCATGCAATGAAGCCCCATGCTTATCAATCTCCATTCAAGCAGCTGCAATATTTTAGTATTAAGCAGCAAACACGGATTTAGAAACTTTTTCTTGTACCTATACAAAAGAAAGAGGGAAATTCAAAATCTCCGTGCATTGGCGTATAATGCTAAACACCATTAACCGAGTTGACCATCTTCACACGTTTAAGAAGAGATTGATACTCTGAACTTCTGGACCATTCATCAATCTCACGTGCACGAAGAACCGGAAGAGGATGCGAAAGTTGCCTCGTTTGAGCATTCCTGAATGATGTAGAATTAATCACACCCGTTTGGGATATTTTCCACAGCTCACGCTATTGATTATAATTTATATTTTATTCATCCAGAGCTCATGACATGAGAAATCTTGGTTACCTTATATACCACCCGATTGGGCTAGCAGAAGCCTTTTCATACGAGCGAGCTTGCTCCAAGAAGGCATCAACGTTTAATTGGTCGGTCATAGAGGGACAACCACCCGCTAATTTCATCAGAACGGATATGACAACCTCTTGTTGGGGGGAATAAGAGAGAATGATTACACAATGTTTTAATTAATTATAGCTGAGCGCATAAAACAAAAAAGATTTGTATATTCTAAATTACATCTTACCTTAGGGTCTCGAGCAACAACAAGTGCTGCCCTATCACACGTGAGTTCAGCAGCTCGAATCCAACGGAAGAGTTGCTCTTCTAGTGTCTGAGCAATCAAGCTGCCAAGCCCTACAAACAATGAAATAGGGTGGATATATGGAGCCTTTGCAAACATTTAAAACAAATGAGATTTTAAGTTTTCAACTGCAAATAATCACATCGTAATGCTTTCAAATGCAAAATTTTGCTTCTGATTCCGCTATATTTAATCAACATTTAAAGGCATGCTTATGCGTACTTTGAATTTTGATTCTTTTTTTATTTGAACTTTAAAGACAAGTAAAATAATTTTAGCTCTTTTCCACCAAACACTCTCTCTTGACTTAATCAACTTTCAGATAATTCTTTTTATTTTCCTTCCAAAGGATCATTCAATTTCTAATTCTCACCTAATTTACCTTCACCTCAATGAATAAATTCTCCTACAAAAGAATAAATTCTGTATCTGAAGAATGACAAGTGAGATCCATACCAGGTACAGAATACACTCCGAGAGTAAGAATATTAGCAAACGTGAGCCACACACCGTGATCGCACTTCAAATGACCCAACTCATGAGCCAAAACAGCCTGCATATGAATACCGAGAAGGCAACATGAACCGAGTGCAACTTGAACACTCATGCTTCATAATATTTCGAAATTTCAAGAACCGAATTAGATAAAACTGAGAACCTGCAACTCTTTTCTTGACAAAAGTTCAACCAAGCTCGTATGGACAACAACAAACGGTTTCTTTCCACTGATTGCCAAAGTGTATGCATTGGGGACGGGACTTTGGCGTAAATACAAGTCAGGGGCCTCGATATTTAGTATACCCGCAGCCTCAATCATCAATCCATGAAGCTCAGGAAGCTATAGAGACAAGCCAAAGCCACTCAAATAAATCTAAAGAGAAACACAACCACCCTAACAAAGCTATAGAAACACNTTTTTCCCCTAAAAAAGACCTGATTTTCGGAAACAAGAATGGACGTCCCTATATTCTCGAGAAGCATAACTTGCTCAGCTACAGCTCCTGCAGCCCAAATACCCATACATGAACTAAAAAGCTCAATTCATTGTCAAGCCATGAAGTAAATTTCAATCAGCGTACACAATAAAAATTACAATTTACACACCTAAATATTTTTCATATTTACAGGTAAAGCCCCAACAAATTAATGTATTAACTATTAATACAAGCTGCTGTTTATTTACAGCACCTAATAAAGCTTTTCCGATTTCGTTTAGACCTGGAATTGCTCTCAGGATCAACGTGTTCTGCAATCACAAGAAAAAGGGGTATGTAAATCAAACAATCTAAAACAATAATCGAGAAAATCAGTAAAACTATTAAATTACTTGTCTATCCAGAGGATGTCTAATGTCATCTGCATCCAGATCGCGAATAGAAACAGATGAAGCAGCGCGACAGACAAGGTTTCGGCTCCTCCGATGTTTGCTCCCCAGAGGCTTAAGCTTAGCTCCGCCGGAAAAGCTTATTAGCGGCTTGTTCGCGGTCCTGAAGCAGAGGTTAATGGGAGTGGCTTTTGCCCAAAAGTTTACTGACGGAGCATAAACTGCGGCCATTGAGAAAGATAAAGAGAGAGGTGTGTGGAGGCGCACGTTAGCGTATGAACGCACAGAGCTCTGCACCAGAGGGTACGGCACCATCTGGTGTACAAAACAACACGACATAGCGAAGTTTTGCTTGGTTTTGATTCCATGTTTCGAGCCACAGCCGTATTCCCTAGTAATGATTTGCCGCCACTTCGTTTTCTGTTGACTTTTCGTTTAGCTTATATTTGTGAGCCGCATAATTACGCAACTGGATATTTCTAGTCATTTTGGAATTACTTCGTAATGATTATCACTTATCATAATTATAAAATATAAATTTTTGGTGGTCCAAGTACTCTATATTAGAAGAAAAAAAAAATACTTATATCATTCATGCCATATTATATTTTTGTTAATGTTATTTTTAGATTATATCATTTTCTAATAAAGCATGTATATTTTGAGGAAAACGAATCATTTCTAAAATATTCAACCCTACATAGTGCAATAATAGTGTTTTACACCGAATGAATGCACATACTTACATGGATGTATGTTGATCTAACAAGTTTTGTGTTTATTCAATATAGAAAAAGTCTGAATGTATAACACAGAAAAAAGTTTAAATGTATATTAATCCAAAGAGTTGTGTATTGATAAAAGGGGTGAAAAAACCGGTTATGCAACTTTGTGGTAATCTACCAACATATTTAATACAGAATCCTATGTAATAATTTCTTGATATGAACTATTGAGTTCCTATAGTAAATGCAAAATTTTAGCAATCTCTTGTAGTAGTTACATCTTTGATCTCACAAAAATCAACCCCTAAATGCAAAATTGTGAAATTAGAAAACCATTAACTTGGATCTAATCCTTGGTTACTTCCCCTTCACAATCATAAGATAATGATCTTCGTTTTGATACCACAAACCTCACAAAGTGCTTCTCCAATTTTCTCATTAGATAGAGAGGAGAGAACCACCGCCAAAATGACAGAATATTTTATTACACAACATAGTAACACAGTCTGTTATTAAGATATAAAGGCCATCACCACACTCAAAGCCTCCATTTTACTTGCAAGTTGTTCATACAGATAAATTACAAACTTACAAGGGGCATTTAAAAGTTAAAGCTACTTGCATCTTCACTTGACACCATTACACCATCATTTATTTGGAAACTGGACAAAAGCCAATCCGTACAACCATTTGAGGCATACAACCAGATTTTGCCCACCCAAAATCTTAAGCCACATGGAAATTCTGTAAAAAACAGTAAAACCGACTTCACCAGATAGGCTACACGAGCATGCATACACTCCAGTTACAGCATTTATATTTTAAGCTGGGCTGAGATTAATGTCAGCAATGGAATCCTGCAAACCAGCTTTTTCGCAAAGATCTAGCAAGTCCAAAGTCTGCAATAACAAATAAAGTTGCTAAATATGAAGGGCGTGTATTCGAAAGGGGGAAAACAAAAAAGATAAAGTCGCTTTTTGCAGCAGATGCTAAAATTTTATTCAAATAATGGTTGCAAACAAGAAGCTAAAAGTTGAATTTGTGGGTAAAGAAGTAGTGAGAGCCAAACCAGGAGCAGAATCAGAAATCAAGCACTNCAATATAATAGTTTCAAGTTTCAACTACTCCACAAGAATATTCGAAAGATTAAGTGCTTATGATTTTAAGATTAGATCTAACCTCAGGAATAGAGAGTTCAAGACGGAACTTAGGGCCATCATAGTGATGCAAGACTGGCCTAAACGAGTCCTCTTCCAGAGGCTTGCAGAGTTTCCTAACACGAATTCTTACCTAGTTTGGATTAACATTAAACTGAAGATCAACAGTTGAGATTTGACAAAACAACATTCAAATTTGGAAGCGCATAAAACCGATTTTCAATGGTATAGTAACATCATTTTACCTGGGCAGGGAACCTCGATTCGCCTTTGCACTTTTTATCTTCCCAAGCAGTAGGATCAATGTTGGAGCCTCCAAAGGTAGTTGCCTGTCAATTATACATAAAGCAACCTAAGTAATAAATATGAAAAACACTTGGTCAAGAAAAAAATTCGTTATATGATGTAGAACAATGTGTCATAGCTAAAGTATAACATTTCTTATGAAAAAAATATTAAGTAGAGCCTTCCATCTTTAACACAAGAAGAGGTGTGATGTTGATGCAAACAAATGGTGCTTTGGGAAGTCCATCAATCTCATTTTATCAGACAAGCAAGGTATATTGCCCAGTTACAGTAAAATTGCTGTTTATACCCATGTTCAGTGGCGCAGAAAAAGTAATTGCACCAAATTTAACCAAAAAGGATAACAATGAAAAGATTGGCAACATACCTCAAAGATACCATGCAACTGGTGAGTGGTGTAGTTGTAGAGGAATAGAGGCAAACCTGGTGTTATTGCCCTCACAGAATCTCTGTATCTTGGTGGCAAACCTACAAAATGAAGCACGATGATTCAGCATCAATAATCGCAGGTGCATATACATTACAAGCATTAAGTAGACAGAATCAAATTAAAGTTGCAAACAGATTTGACCCACACTAGGTTTAAAAAAAAAGTAACAGGATATGAATAGTCCAAAGATGTGCAAAATGACAGCGACTAAAGCTATTATAAACAAGAATAGTAAAGAAAAACGATTGGAATTACCGAACAGTTGTCTCTTCAAATCCTCCTGCATTGTGTCATTGTTGCACACGAAGATATATCCACCAAGAATTTCATTCCTTGGGAGTGTCTCAGCAGCTGGTAAGGTCTTAAACCTTTTGTCGATTGCATTATTTGCATTTGCGCTGTCCTCCTTATTAGTATAGTTGTGGCCAACATTAGGCTCCTTTATGAGGTTGATATTGATATATTTGCTTCCAGGAATAGTTCCTAAAGTACTGACATTTGGGTTCTGATAAACACCATTCATATTATATATACCATTGGAATTGGAACTTTTCGTCACATTCTCATTGAACCTCGTCCCCAAGTTTAACATGCCAAAGTTAATATTTTCAAATTTGTTGTCTTCTTGAAATACATAATTATCCCTGGGCCTAAATTCAGTTGAACCCTTCGAGATATCTAAATTGATTTTCCGTTCAGGCTTTGACCTGGTCTGCTCAGCCAATTTAGAAGCAGCCTCAAACCATTTGTAATCCTCTGAGACTTTCGACTGTCCACGGAGCTCTTCGCCTAACTGCCAAAAGCTGTTAAGACTCTCCATGCCGAAATCTGAGAACAGTTAATGGAATATGGTCAGATAATACATTCCACTAAGAGAGAGAGAGAGAGAGTAAAAACAAACGACCAGCAACACAAGTTACAGAATTATTTATTCTGAGATAAAGAAGCACATTAGAGATTAACATTGAATAAATAGAAGGTATAATAAACAAGATAATTGTTACTTCTTAAAGCACAACAGGGAAAGTTGAATAGCATAAATTTTCGTATAATGCAAAAGGGAAGATGAAGTACAGATAGAACAAAACAGTTCCATAAAAATGGGGAGAGTGATGTCCGCAATAGTTTTTGGGTACTTTCATCCCCAACAAAAACAATAGTGTAGTGAAAATTTCCAACTGCTATATAAATGGTAAGTACCATGATACTAATAAGAAATTTCAAACTTGTTGAGAAATTCAAGCAACAAATCACAGTAACTGTAGACTATATAATATGTTTGATTGTTCAACCTCAATAAATCCAATATATAAAAAGAATTACCAAATCGTTTACACTGTCGGTTCGCCACTAAGCGGACAGCATCCAGAAAGCAAATATATAGTCATTAATAAGCTAAAACTTTCCATACAATAGTACTACATACCTAAATGATTAAATGAGGTTTATGGGCCAAAACTGTCAAGCTCCGCTACATGCAATGAGTTAACGAAAATACTCACTTTACATTTACACATCATAGAGAGAGAGAGAGATGAACAATAAAAGCCCCATATCAACATTGCTCCGAAAGATAGATTTCGATATCTTTAAAAAAATCTACATACATATAATTGTTGGCTAAACATTAAATAAAACTTATTTAATTATACATACGTAGCACTTCCCAACCAAAAAGTGTTATTACCAGCATTAATCATTTTTTTTACACTAATTATATAATCTGGACACTAGTGAGATCAGAATAATTTTAATTGGCAAAAATTAGGATAATCTGGTTTGTAAGGAATGTTGACCAAACATCTTAAAAATTTTTATTATCAGAATAATGTTGACTTTAGTAATACAACCAAACATTTTAAAATTTCATAAATAATAATAATAATAATAATAATAATAATACTTTTTAAGATAATTAATAGGTTAGGATCTTACAAAGTTATAAAAACCACATTATCCATTTTATTTTATGCAATCAATATAGTGATGAAGTTGAATATTTTTATAATGTTCATTTTTCCTAATGACAGAAATTTTAAAATATGATAATATTATTATTATCTAACTTATAATTTTAATATTATATACATACATATAACTTATGATAATTTAAACATCAGGATAGAATACTAGTTGAAATGTAATAGCAGCCCCTTCAGAATTCACTAGCACTGAAACAAAGCAAGCTATGGAGAAATTTGAGCTCATGCATCTACATTGCAGATGATTCATATCATATGAAACTACAAAACTGCAAATTCATCAGCCGACACACTAAATTACAGCACCTTTTTACCAAAAAGCTACCCATTAAACGATTTCAGAGGATAACCTAAAAAAATTCAATAACGCTCAACTTAATTGGATTTCATTCAATCGATCGGACAAACGAACAATTCTCGACAGCTAAAAGCAAAGCTAACACCTAAATTCAGGGATCCAAAGCTCAAAGCTAAAGCATGAGAAAGAAAATGAGCACTCACCACCTCACTCCTCCGCCACTGGTGACCGGAAATGCAAATCAGAGGAGGATGATAGGCAGATTTTTCGCCATTTATTACATTTGGATTTCAGCAACTGCCCTTGATCTTTTGCTTTTTTTACGGAATTACCACCGAGGGTTATTTTTATTTTTTATTTTTAATTTTTGTGGGTAAAACGACAACATAACATTTTGTTAACTTACTTATGGATGTGGGCCCAAAAATGGTCTCCAACGCTTGTCAGATCTGGGCCAAGGCTGGATTTGGGCTTTGTCGTTAACTTTAAGCCCAAAGAACTTTTTAACAGTTTTATAAATTAAGAAAACCTGGAAGAAAATCAATATATCCGTGGATATTTTTGTCTGCAACAAAAAAAACCTAAGTTGTACTAGCTGAAAACCAGTCGACGATAGAAAATGGAGATGTCCACCGAATTTGAACGCATTCTTTATTTCGAGCATACTCGCAGGACTGCAGAAGCTACATATGCTAAAAACCCTCTGGACGCTGATGTTCGTATCAGCTTTTTAATTGTGTTCGATTGTGGTTTTTGAGTTTGTTAATCATTGTTTGCTGGTTTGCTGCAGAATCTAACTACATGGGGACACGTGTTGATCGAGCTATCACAATTTCAAACTAATCCCGTCGATTCGAAGAAGATGGTTCTAGGCAAATCAATTATTCTGTTGATTATACCTTTTAAGTTTTGTGCTGCCTTGATTGTGTAAATTGTGCATTATCCGTTGATTTTGTTAGAAATGTGAATGGATTTTCGTTCTTGTGAGGCTAATGGGGGAATTAGGATAATGAAGTTGGTAATATGGATTGAGGATTTGGAATGAGGAGCTATAAGTATTCATTTGTGATGTTGGATTTCCGTGAGATTTGTAGTTTTTTCTTGTTAGAAATGTGATTTATCTGTAGCATATGAGAATTAGTTCTGTTAATATTGTTGGAATTTGGATGTTTGAATGTGCAGAGGTTAATCTTCATTGATTTACATATTGAATGATTATGTGTTTTTTGGCTTGTGTATTTGGTGGTGTGAAGTTGAAATTGTTGGTCTCATAGTAAAATTTGAGCTTCTTATGTTTCATAGACGCTATTGACAAGCTAGAGGAGGCAGTAGTTGTTAACCCTGCAAAGCATGATGCTCTATGGAATCTTGGAAATGCATATACATCGAGTGCATTTATGATTCCAGACCTTGACGAAGCTAAAGTTTCCTTTGATAAGGCAGCCCAGTGCTATGAGCAAGCATCAGCATTGGTACACCAAATAAACAAGTATATTTCTTTTATGTGTTTTCATTACCTTGCTTAAATTGCATTGTGCATTGTTTATTCTTCTGGTGCAGGAACCAAAAAATGATCTTTATAAGAAATCATTGGAAGTATCTGCCAAGGTACAACCAACCACCCTATCCCTGCAATTTCTCCCCTGCTTTTCTCAAAGTTGGAGTACGATCAGAATCATGTGCGATTAATATTTATTTTATTTGGGAGTGGAACATGATGTTTTTAGTGGTTGAATTGGTCTGAAGTGTTTTTCTGAAAATAACCTGATGTGGGATGGGCTGGGCTGGGATGGGATGGGTTTTATATATTATCAAAATTCAAAAAGATTCTGCTTTTGCAGTTTCTGCTTAAACTCTTAGCGTTAGTTATGCAATTTGCTAGGCTCAATAGAAAAATCATTTCAACATCATTTTTTGCATTGGAACATCTTTACGAACTAAAGAAAACGACTCGTTGATGTATTTAACCGTCATTACAGATTTTTATTTCTTAACAATGTGTTGTAACATGTGATAATGTTCGATTCTCATGCTGATTCCTTTTCTTTCTTTTGTATGACTTGCAATATTTTGAACCCTTCTTTTTTAACATTTCCTTTGTCTTCCAATACTGAAAGATTAAATTTGGAGTTTGGACACTCATTGTGTTTGTAGCATCCATTGAGATGGTATAGATGTAAACATTTTTGTGGACTAACTATAAGTGTATCTCACATGTTGATATATAGGCTCCCCAGCTACACGAGGAGTTTCACAAGCATGCTCAGCTGCAGGCTATGGGACCCGACCCTTCATCATCTACCAGCACGAGGGTAAACAGTCTTTCTTCTGACTGTAGCTAAATCATATTTATCTTAATTTTTATTTTTTGGCGGGGTGGGGTTCATTAGGGTTTAGTACAATTACCAAGTTCCAACTGAGGCATTGAATCTCATTTCCTTCTCTCGAGAAAGGGAATTGTTTCTTTTTACAGGACAATTTGATCATAAGATGTCCTACTTTGCCTTCCATTTTATGTGCCTTTTTTGTATCCTTCCTAAACTGCTTTGTATTTGGTTTAACGACCATGTGTCTCATTTGCCACAGCAGCAAAGTGTTAAGAAGAGCAAAAGTAGTGACCTCAAGTATGACATATGTGGGTGGATTATCCTTGCTGTCGGCATTGTTGCGTGGGTTGGATTCGCAAAAGCTAACATGCCTCCACCACCCCCTCCGAGATAAATATGGTCGAGTGTTTGTTTCGTACTGGCTGAGTAGATGGGAGTTTCAAGAACAGTTTTTGCCTCATTTATTTTATTTTACTTTTATCGTTTCCATGAGGTGCCTAATACATGCTACTTTAAGAGGGCATTTTGTAATATTGTTTGCAGTATGTGATGAAAGTTCTTTCTACAAGTCTTGTTTTGATTTGCATGAGGTAATAACTCCTTGCAATCATTAGATATTGCAGCGTGGAGATCCTTCGTATTTCCTAGCACTCTTGAAATATTGGGTTTTGCATTCTTAGACGTACTGCAATGCTAGTGAATTTTGTGGGTTACCCAAGCCTTTCAATGGCTAAAATCACTTGAAACGGCTTATGAAACCATAAGCCAAACAAATTAACTAAACAATTAATTCATATATATATACACACTGAAAGGTCCCGATTACATTATATGACTTCTACTTCTTCAATGGAAATAAAAAGTCGAAACAAGACAACACAAGCTGCGAACATAAATCGAAGTAAGCAAAACATAAAAGTAAAAGAATTCCAAACACAGTTAAATTCAGAAATCCTCATCCAACTTGAATACGTGGGCCCCACCATCTCCGTTCAAGCTTGACATAACAGAAGCCTTCTGATATTCCCCAACCCTCTTTTCGAAGAAATTGGTCTTCCCCTGCAGACTAATCAACTCCATCCAATCAAAAGGGTTCGCCACACCATACAATTTCCCATAACCAAGCGCACCCAGCAACCTATCAGCCACAAACTCAATGTACTGACTCATCAGCTCCCCATTCATCCCAACCAACGCACATGGCAGCGCGTCACACACAAACTCCCTCTCAATCGCCACGGCGTCCGCCACTATCCCCTTCACCCTCTCCTCGCTCAGCTTCATCTTCAACAACCCATACAGCAGGCAAGCAAAATCACAGTGAAGACCCTCGTCTCGCGAGATCAACTCGTTCGAGAAAGTCAACCCCGGCATCAACCCACGCTTTTTCAGCCAAAATATTGCACAGAAGCTTCCAGAGAAGAATATACCTTCAACGCAAGCGAAGGCAAGCAGCCGCTCGGCAAACGACTCAGAGCCATCGATCCAGCGCATGGCCCACTTAGCCTTTTTCTCGACGCAAGGGATAGTCTCGACGGCGCGGAAGAGCATGCTTTTCTCGGCGGGGTCCTTGATGTAGGACTCAAGGAGGAGGCTGTACATCTCGGAGTGGATGTTCTCGATGGCGATCTGGAAGCCGTAGAAGGCGCGGGCCTCAGAGACCTGGACCTCCTTCATGAAACGTCCGGCGAGGTTCTCGAGGACGATGCCGTCGGAGGCGGCGAAGAAGGCGAGCACGTGCTTGACGAAGTGGCGCTCTCCGTCGGTGAGAGTGGACCAGTGGCGGAGGTCGCCGGAGAGGTCGACCTCCTCGGCCGTCCAGAAGGAGGCCTCGGCCTTCTTGTACATCTCCCAGATCTGAGGGTATTGGATCGGGAACATGCAAAAGCGGTCAGGATTGGGGGCGAGGAGAGGCTCTTCGGGGATGGAAGGCATTGTTCGGAATTTGGGAAATTAGGGTTTCTGAGAGTTATTTGGGGGTGAGTGAATGGAGAAGGTGATGATGGCTGTGGGGAGGGGGAGTGTGGATTGGTTTATATAGGGATTTGGAGCGCGGGGTTTTGAATTTATTTGGAGAAGAAAGCTTGCAGGAGACTGAATTGGGGATTTTTTGGATGATTCAAATTTGGGAAATGTTCAAAATTTTCAGCCGAATTATGCCGCCAATATAGTTTGATATGCGAATTAATTAATTACTACTCGCGTTGGTCATTTAGAACACCTACAATGCATTGAGTCTCTTAATACAACTAATATGAGTCCCATGGTAAAAGATATTCATTGATATTTATAAATTAAAAATATTCATTATATAATTTTATAAACAAAAAATATGGAATCAATATGTAATAACTTAGTTCTCATTGGGCTTAGGTTTTTTTTCCAACAATTTTGGTATTCTTCTCCATGTATAACTTAGTTACCCATTTTACTATTCAAATTATAACACATTAATCATATACTGTTTATGAAATATGTCGCAAATGAATTCTTTAAATTAATAAAATATAATGAAAAGAATACAAAATTACAAACCAAATGCAAAAGTTGATTCAAATAGCCGCCCCACAACCCCTGGTTCACCAGCTCCACCTCATCCTCCAGCAGTCCCTCCCCGATAGAGGTGCTTCACGCTCCCATCAGGCCACCATGCGCGCGTCCAAGAGATCTTCGGCCCTCATCGTGGCCTTCCTCAACCTTTTGCTAATATTATTTTATGGTCGTTCACATCTTTGCAAACTACTACACAATCGATAACCACAAACAAAAGAGAGTCAACTCCATCTAACCACTTATCATCACAGCAAGAAGAAACATAAACAATCAATGTTACAATAATTTGAAAACAATAACTTATCTCGTTAGAAACAACTCCCATTGTGGCCTCTTCTGACTGCCGTGATCGGAGTCGATCAAAATAACAGTATTATTGAACTTTGGATATTATAAGAACATCACAACTTCCCTACTGTATAAAAGATTTTTGAAGGAACAGTGTTATTACGAACTATTAACTAACAAACACATAACACTCTTGACATAAATAGCACTAAAAAAGTAGTGATTTACCCACACAAAAAGCTTAAAATGAGAAGCACTTCTACTCTTGCCAGTCACTACATCAGCCTTATCGCGTAATTGAAGTAAACTGTTACTACATGTACACGATGCGTAGGATAACATTTCAAATAGTCACAAATCCAAATGATAAAAATAAAAGAGCTCACCAAATATACAGGATAAAACCAGAATAATTAGTATTTGCATATTAACTATTGACCTTCACATAACGAACTGCCACTGACTCAGTACACACGACATATTTATCATTTATCTATCGTTGTTGTTATCCTCAAGAAAGACATCGAAAAGGAATTATTTACAGGTTAATTCTGTTAGCCAAAAATTTCCATCATCACTAATTTTACAAATAATAAAAAAAAAACATACTAACTCGCTTTGATTCTTCTAATTAAGCTAAAATCGCACGCACAACTAACAAAAAGTCAAGAAACTTACTCGGGCAGAGACACAGCCCGCTAGGGTCATCGGCATAATATTCATTAGGCTTGTCGTGTGTAGCATAATCCCAGTGGCTTCCATCGCCAGCTTTGGCTCCGACAGGTAACTTGCCAGCACCGTCACAATATCATACCACCGCCACTCCAAACATATCCCGACAAAGCTCGGCACCGCCAACATCAGCAGCCCCAATACAAAGTAAAATTATTGTTATTCAAACGAAATAAAAGACACTAAATACAATAATAAAAAATTACCCCAAAAACTAAAAATGTCGAAGCGACGGACCCTTCTTTGTGATGCTCTTCTCCATCCACCCCATCCAAGACGACGGTGCCCCGACAGCCGCTCACGACTCCAATTCGCCATCACTTGAATCACAGTCGTTGGAGCTTTGAGGTTTCACCAACTCTACAACCACATGGCTCCACCGTATAGTGCCGCTCGGCAACCGCGACGATCCTTTATCAGCCGTTGTTAGCCGTCCGTCGATCTCCGACACGGGCCTCATCCTCTCTCTGGCCGTTTTTCCGTCAACTATGGTGTTGTCCGTCTCAATCATGCCGTCGTCCCCGTGTTGCAGGCGAGAGTTGTCGATGTCGGGCAGGCGCACGACTCCGTCTTCTCAGAAATTGGGGGGTTTTGCGTTGGGTGTTCGTGAAGGAGAGAAACGAAGGAGATGAAGAAATTAGAAAATAAGATGAAGAATTTCGTAATTTTGGTGCGCAAGGGAAGGAAGAAGAGTTAAGGGAAGAAGAAGAGAGAGGAAAAAAAGAGGAGGGGGATACGGAGAAGAGGAGAACAAAATGGAGATATGAATAATGTTCAGTTTTTTTAAAAGATAATGAAAATTTTTGAGAAGTTTTAATTGAATACGGAATCTTTGATTGGTTAACAAACTTTTGTTCCATTTTAAGAGAGAGATTATCTTCCCTTTATTTTCTCCTTTTTCCTTTTATTGTGGATCTTTTTCTTCAAATCTTGGATTAAAAAATAAGATTGTAGAAATAGATAAGTCGAAATAGGCTGAAATCAATAAATAAAATCTCCAAAAAAATCGAATTGATGACTGGCGGCATAGTTTTTAAACCCGGCCTGAAAATCGACTCGGGCAAGTCACCGGATCGCCGGTTCAACCGCCTGGTCACCGGGTCAATTGCTGAACCGGATAATTAATTTTAAAATTTTTAAAATTATATATATAGTACTTTTGACATATAAATATACATAAAAGTAACAAAAATAAATATTTTGTATACAAAATTTGTACATTTAAGTGTTATAATATTGTATCTCACAATAAATATTTACTATATCATTATATTTATATTGTTTTTATTTTTTATATATAAAAAAATAAAAAATATATAGGACCGGGTCAGCCGGGTTGACCCGGCCGGGTTGATTACCCGAGTCGACCGGGTCAAGGCCAGGTTGGCCGGGTTTGACCGGGTCCATTGTTACCCAGTCCAAATAGCCCACCCAGACCGGTTCCGGCTCCGGGTCGACCGGGTCCCGGGTCGGTCCGTCGGGCCGATCCGGGTAAAAAAACAATGACTGGCGGGCATATTCAATTTTTTGAACAAAATATTACTCATTATAGTAATGATTTAGGCAGGAATTGAAATGTTTTTTTCTGGATTTTTTCTTACTATTTCAAGTAAATATCATTCCCTCTTTATATATTAATAGATATCATATGCCACATAGGAAATAGACCTATTCTATAAAAAAAATGTCTCCCAATGCAATTAAAAGTGGACATGGTATAGCTTATGTGACAATAAAAAAAAGAGACCAAGTTCACACTTGGGTCTATTTTGGACCCAAGTACAAACCCAAACACTCATCATTTATTCCTACTTTAATTTTTCTTTTAATAAAGGAAACATATTAAAGCATTTTTATTAGTTGACATGTATGCTAGACCTAGTATTTTATTTTTACATTGAATAGCTTTTGAGTTTTTTACTTGGGTTTGTTAATGTCATTTAGGACTTAAGTCTATTTATATGCCACGTATGTAAAATTAGACTCAATGCATTGTGTGTGCTCTTAGAGCATTTAACATGGAGGTTTTGAGTGAGGTTTGAATTTCCAAACCTTCGCTTTTCATTAAGAGCATCTTTAACAACAAAACCTCTTAAACCTCCTTTTTCATTTTGTAATGCGCCACATCACTCAAAACTCCTTATCTTACTCTTACACTCTAAACCTCAAATAACAATAATCCCCACATATTTATTTTATACGGGTCTCACATGTTCCTCACTTATTTTATTTAAAATGATTACTTTAATCTTTCCTACTATCTTTTTCTTATTTGTATATTTATTTAATGCCCACTTGGAGGTTTATGTGAGGTTTGGAATCTCAAACCTGGTTTAAAAACACAAATCCCAAACCTCTTCTTTATAGTGGTAAACATTGGATATGAATTCAACTAGTAAAAAATTGGTTATTTTTTTAACTATAGTTAAATTTGAAAAAATGTGGTATGGTTAATTGTTAGTGGATATATTAAAATAATATTTAAAATAAAATAATTAAAGTTAATTTGATGTAAAAGTAGGAGAAAATGATTGGAAGTGATAGTTAATTAAGATCATGTGAGTACATGAATAGTGAATTAAAGTTGATGTGATGTGTAAGAATGATTGGTTGATATTATTTAATTATTTGATAATATTGTAGGTAGTGAAGTTTAGTTAAAGTTGAGTTTTGATTGGTTTTTTACTGTACAATTTGTATACAATTGCCCCAAAGGTTTGTATTTTTAAACCTCTCCAAAACCTCCCACTAAAGAAGAGCATCTTTATATAAAATAAAGAGGTTTATGTAATGTTTATAAACTTCATTTTGGAAGTTTAACTATTAAATAAAGGAGGTTTAAGTTTTATAAATGTAAACTAGGTTTACATTTTTAAACCTCACTAAACCTCGATAAAAAAAACAAAAAGTAGAATTATAATGTAAAAATATTAATTAAAATATAAATGTATGATATTAATTAGGAATATGTGGGATCATAAAAGGAGGTTTATTATTAAATACAATTTTAATTTAAAATAATAATTTGTTTTTTGGTGACATGTATATTTACACATGATTAATACTAGGTGTATTTTTTCTAGCAGAATTATAGGGAAAAACAATTAAATATACCAAAATCTGATTGAAATATATTTTTGACTTGAGTAAAATAAGAGAAAATAAAACAGAGGGAAAAAAAAAATCCGAGCCCGTCGATATGGATACAGACGCGGTGTCGAAGGCGTTCGTGGCCCACTACTACACGACGTTCGACTCCAATCGGGCCGGGCTTGCGAATCTGTACCGGGAGGGCGAGAAGATCATGGGATCCCAAAACATCGTGACCAAGCTCACCGGCTTGCCCTTTCAGCAGTGCCACCACCAGATCACAGTTCACATATAAAAAGGTTTATAAAATTATGTATAAAATAATTATTTCACTTGTTTTGAGAAATATAATATCTCACACTAACATTATATATCTGATAGGGATTATAATACCGACTCGGTCTAACCGGACAAAGACCCGTGAGATTGAGGCCAAGCAAGCCTAATGGTCTACTGGTCCAATGACCTACTGGTCTAACGACCTACTGGTCCAACGACCTACTGGTCCAATGGCCTACTGGTCCAACGACCTACTGGTCTAATGGCCTACTGGTCCAACGACCTACTGGTCCAACGACCTACTGGTCCAATGACCTACTGGTCTAATGGCTACTGGTCCAACGGCCTACTGGTCCAATGGCCTACTGGTCTAATGGTCTAATGGCTACTGGTCAAATGGCCTACTGGTCTAATGGTCCAACGGCCTACTGGTCCAATAACCTACTGGTTTAATGGTTGAGCATAGACCGTGCATTGATCCGCTCAAGTGTCGACCAGACCTAAGGGTCGATCAGACCAAGGTGTCGACCTCGACCATAGCGTCGACCCATCGATTGGCCCAAAGAGTCGACCCCCGACCACAATGTCGACCGGCGAAGGGGCTTGGGGTCGAGCCTTGGCCCTCGAAGTCATCATACGCCATGTGCTCGGTCAATGAATGTCTAAGGATTTATGGTCCCGAGGACAGTACAGTCAGTCACTATATAAGAGGTAAATTGACCGACGGAAGGTAACATGAACTCATTATTTCACTACAATAGTTATTATGCATTCTCTCGCTCTCTGTCTCTCTATCTTTCTCTTTTGATTGCGGGATTTTGACTTGGGCGTCGGAGGGTTTGCACCGGAGCAATTCCGGCGCTTTGCAGGTACCGGCGAACTCGAGTGCATGGACTGGACCACACTCACCGATCTACCATTCAAATCAGAGAGGACCTGGCGAGGAACTGGAGTCACTCGCCTTGGACCTTATCAATATCATTGTTAAAAAGTACTATGGTTGGGGCAAATTCAACCTCACCCCTGGGTTTTCCCACAGGTAAGGTGAAAACCATCTATGGTTAGGACTGCTCACACTATTTTAAAAAATAATATTATCAGAATTTAAAATTTTCGTTTGGTCTGTTGGCGTGGTATTGGTGGAATTTTCAGAAAAATGTAAAGGTACAAGAATTTTGATTTCTCAAGCAACCAGCCGTCACATGCTTTTTCCAATACAAATAACTTGCAATAAAAATAAAATACAAACAACTTTGAACTAACCATCAAGGGTGATATGAATCTCAAATAGCTTCATTGGGTAGCTTTCACCTTTTTTCCCCAAACATCTTTCCTTTCCATTTGCTCGTTTCTATATTAATTCCAATTCCCACAACCATTCTTGTCAGCACAACCTCTATCAAAATAGTAGAAATATCTGAAA